GTTGCACTTATACTCAAAATAATTCCTCGCAGAAGAAACATATATGTCTTCAGCTCTAACATAACAGATTTCATTAATTCACCCTGAGTGCACTACGATTCTATTTTATGCATTGGTAATTAGTTGTTTATATCATCTGTTGGCTTTGTTTCTTCCATCATTATGAACTTTTATGTCTGATTATATTGTATTTTCTTTTGTTTATTACATGAATATTTGAATATCATGAATGAAACCATGCTAGGTGTTTTGGGTATAGCATGAAAGGTTGTTTCAGATGATGTTGAACCAACATACTGACTTTGGTCCAAAATGATTGGAAACTAGGCTTTTGTTGTCATTCGGCATTTTTTGCGAGGAGCTTTTATCTTTTTCTGTTTGGGTTTTTTTTTTTGGGGCTCTGAACTTTCATGTCAGAATGGAACAGGAACATAAAAATTTGCATCTGAACATGTATATGAACCTGTATACTGACGGAATATATTCACATTCACATGTCAGCATAAATTGTTTTGCATTTGCAACAATTAGGTGTTACTTGTACTTATTTCTACTTACTGTTTCCCACAAATTTGTAGCTATGGATGTTGGAGGTGAGGTGATGGAAAGCACTATTCCTTCGCTTATAGTAGATTATGTTCAGAAAGGAGAGGTACTTTCTCCAGAAGATAGTGCTTGGGTTGATTCCTGTCTGATTAGTGAATCTGATAATTTGGATGATGACTGGTCTTCTCTGAAAGGTGCCCTGCTAGAAATCCTTAATTCTCAGCCTGAATCACTCAGCTCTTCTGCACTTCCTTCTGGTGAGGGGGCAGATACAGAACGCTTCCAAAGAAGAACCCAAAGGAGTCTGCTTCCTATTAATGAAGACGCAGAGAGTGGAGATGATGATATGCCCACCGATGAGGATGCTAGTAATTTGCAGTCATCAACTTTTACGGGAAATCCATTCTTGCCGGGTTACCGTGATGATGACCTTGGAGTGACTGGAAAGCTTGAGTTAGGAGCCAATGTTGTCTCTACAGTATCTGAGATGGAGCCTTCAACTGAGGATATTTTCAGGGTTTGGGATTTGGATGTTCCAGCGGAGGAAGATGATCTTGTTAAGCAGTTGGAAAAGGCCCTTGAAGAAAGTTCACTTCAACCGCTCCCACCAACTGTCGATGATTCTGATGTGTGGAAAAATTTGAAAGTAGATTCGGTTGATGCTCTAATTGCTGGAATTGCAGACCTGTCTTTGGGTCAAATTTCCAGATAACATATTCATATTTTATATATGTATATACCAAAAGTTTAATTTGCCATTATCATTGTGCTGCTGTTTGCCATTATCATTGTGCTGCTGTTGAGTATTGGCTTCTTGTTGTCTCAAATTTTCACTGAAACATGGATGATGGTTTTAGACCGGGGAAGTTTTCAGGATTGCAGTTTTGAAACTCTGGTTTTGTCTTCAGTGTTTCATAATTTATGGGTTACATGATGCCCAAATAATTATTTTCTGCCATCAGTCTAGTTCCTATGTTAGAAGATGATTGATTTATGTGTTGACTTGACTTCAACATCTTACCAAAATATGTCATGGGGAGGCAAGAGCTAGATGATGCTGTTTGTGCAAATCAGCAAAACCACTCATTGCCACTGCCATTGTGCACCAACCATGCATCTGCTAGTTGGTTAGGGCCTTTAGATTGGCAAGGAAAATCATGACCCCCATCATGTGGAGTAGCTGACGTGTAATGCTATCGGTCGTCCAAGTGGATGCTGGCCAACATCACAACTTTACTATTAAACCATAGCCATTAGTCAGTAAGTATGGAAAAAACAAGCAAGAGAGATGATAACAACCGCATATTTACTTTCCATTTTGGACTCTTCACAATGTGAGCGTCATGCATTTGTCTGTTTACTAAACAGAAGAAAAATAAATATCGTAAGTTTTCCAAGACAATATTTCAGCCTATTTTTACGAGGTGGGCAAAAACCCTCATGTCTGAACCACGTATGCAGCCAGCCAAGTCAGCAAGTTATCATCCACATGGCGAAGCAATATTGGTCCTCGCACAACAGCCTCAAATTAGACATCTTTGTTATACAGAAGACAATTATAAATACAGAGAGTGAGCCCATGTGTGGCAAAGAGCACAAGAGAGCTTTGCCAGAGGAGATAAGATTATATTAAACTGTTCTTCACTAGGCTGCTACTCTCGCAGCTACAATGGCTTCTGCTTCTCTCCTCAAGTCTTCTCCAGTCCTCGACAAATCTGAGTGGGTGAAAGGCCAGACTCTCCGTCAGCCCTCAGCCTCTTCTGTGGTCAGATGCCTCCCCACTGCCCCGTCTGGTCTCACCATTCGTGCCGGTTCCTATGCTGATGAGCTTGTTAAGACCGCTGTAAGTTTCACAACATTTTATTTACCATATGATTTGTACATTATTATAAATTATGCTCTCCAGAAAGTATATGCATGCCTTTTTGTCTTGCTCTGCTCTTATCTAAGTATAGTCTTAGCCCCAACAAAATCTAAAAATCTTATGGAAATGTTAGTTTGCCAAAACTAAACTGTCAGTTTGAACTATTGATAACATGTTGTAATGTTAGTAGAGAAAATAGTATCCTTAAACTTGCATAGCCTGTTGAGGTTTGAATACTGATGATGATTGGTTTTGGTTTGGGTGTAGAAAACTGTTGCATCCCCAGGCCGTGGTATCTTGGCCATGGATGAATCAAATGCAACCTGTGGCAAGCGTCTTGCCTCAATTGGGTTAGAGAACACCGAGGCTAACCGCCAAGCCTACCGTACACTCCTTGTGTCAGTCCCTAGCCTTGGCCAGTACGTCTCTGGCGCCATTCTTTTTGAGGAGACTCTCTACCAATCCACCATCGATGGTAAGAAGATCGTTGATGTGCTCGTTGAGCAAGGCATCGTCCCCGGGATCAAAGTCGACAAGGTAAGCCACTGAAATAAAAATACATACATACCTAAGCAGCTTCAAGCATACTTTGATGAAAACATAGGGCATAAATCTTACTGTAGCTGCCTGTTTTTATCATGATAACAACAGGGTCTGGTGCCCCTAACTGGTTCCAACGATGAGTCATGGTGCCAAGGTCTTGATGGTCTTGCCTCTCGCACAGCTGCCTACTACCAACAGGGAGCTCGTTTCGCCAAATGGTATGGATCAAATCTAAAATCCCCATGTTAATCTGGCAATAAAATTTAGCTCATATCATAATAAGGTAAACTGATGAAAACAGAATTTTAACATATTTTCCAACTTTGATGAACTAGGCGTACTGTTGTGAGCATTCCCAACGGGCCATCAGCTCTTGCAGTGAAGGAAGCAGCATGGGGTCTTGCCCGCTACGCTTCCATTGCCCAAGTAAGAGAGCTGATATCTATGCAGACAGTAGTTGTATTTTTTAACTGGTTATCAGTCAATAGTCGTTTTGCTTTCAAAATTTATTGACGAGTATCAAATTGCTAATTAGCCAACCGGGTTGGTGTTTTCTGTCTAGTTAGGATGTGTTTCTGATAAGGGTTTTGCTTCTTGATTGTTTAGGACAATGGTTTGGTCCCAATTGTAGAGCCAGAGATTTTGCTTGATGGTGAACACACCATTGACAGGACTTTCGAAGTCGCCCTGAAGGTTTGGGCCGAGGTTTTCTTCTACCTTGCTGAGAACAATGTCTTGTTTGAGGGTATCCTCCTCAAGCCAAGCATGGTTACTCCTGGTGCTGAGGCCAAGGAAAGAGCCACCCCTCATCAGGTTGCAGACTACACCCTCAAGCTCCTCCACAGGAGAATCCCCCCAGCCGTCCCCGGGATCATGGCAAGTATCATAAAGATTTTCTAAAAATTTAACACTGATTTATTATTTCTATGATGACAAGATATCATGTACTGATCTTGATGGAATTGTCTTGTTGAGCAGTTTTTGTCCGGTGGACAATCTGAGGTTGAGGCAACCCTGAACTTGAACGCAATGAACCAATCATCAAACCCATGGCATGTGTCATTCTCCTATGCCAGAGCTCTCCAAAACACCTGCCTGAAGACATGGGGAGGCAGGCCAGAGAACGTGAAGGCAGCTCAGGATGCTCTGCTCATTCGTGCCAAAGCCAACTCACTTGCACAGCTTGGCAAGTACACTGGAGAGGGAGAGTCAGAGGAGGCAAAGAAAGAGTTGTTCGTCAAGGGCTACGTGTACTAAGTCATTTGTACCAAAGCTATAGATGATGAAGAACAAATGGCAGCTGATGTTGTTGATGTTGATGGAGGAATGAGACCAGGTTCTCTTAAATGTGTGTAATGATTTATAGCCATGAAGACTATTTTTGTTGATGAACATTCCATGTACTTTTTAGCAACTTAATAAGCTTCTTGATGATGAGTTAGTTAGCCGGTGGTTATAACTTATAAATCAGATTCTTTAGTGCCTGAAATTTGCATTTTCAGTTCATAAATTAACCTCAACCCCGAAAAATAAGCAACTTTCAGCACCCGCTTGATCCTATGTAGTACATAGCTGTTTTGTTCATGGCCATATAATTGCTAGCTTTTCTTTTCTTTAGCGATTACTCTCCCACTTAAATTCACTAAACTAATACGGTTCGAATCATCAGACCACATCGTTAAGTACATCCCAACGATGCGATTCTCATTCAGTTAAGCCTTCAACTAAAGACCTCCTTGGACTGCCTTTTGTGCCTGTATAAACACTCTGTTAAGCAACTAATCCTGATTAATTAGACCTGTCGTGATTAAAACACTAAAAGATAGAGTACTTCGATGCTCACAGTAGAAGTGTTTGCATTTTACATTTTCTTTGGGATTGAATTCAAAGACATGATCCAATAACTAGGGGCTGAGAGACTCCAATCCCATCAAAATACAATTCACATGAGTTTTTGGGGGAGCATTAAACTACAGAATTAGGCATAGTTCAGTAGCCTACTATGATTCTAATGCTACTATTTAGGTACAAGCTTTTGCCCAAATTCACATTTTCTTTTCTAAGATTTGTTCAAAATGTCATATAAGTGCAAATAAGACCAATGTCAATAACGATATTCAAATTCAATTACAGACACTTTGAGAAAACTATAGTAACAACTTTCATTTCTCTCTTTCAAGCTAGAAACAATGTTTTTGACACAAAAGTGGATACTTTCTTCATCTAATCTACTTTGCACAAGGAATGTGACAGACTGATCCTGAACCAAGGAAAACAGAATAAATGTACGAAGAAGGTTACAAGTACTCGAGTTGACAAGCATCATGAAACAGTAATTGTCCAGAACATCTGCAGCCACAAAGTAGAAGCAGAGAAGGGTTCGTAAATTTTTCAGACAACTTTGACAAAGAAAAAGAAAATCACGTTAGATTAATGAATACATAAAACCATCAAAAATACAAATAGGCTGGCAGCATAAAAATACAGCGACATCTTTGTTGAGAGTGTCCCACATTGAAAAGTTATGGGACCTAGCCCGGGTTTATAAGGAGTTGAGCTACTCCCCCCAATGCCAATTGGTTTTGGGGTGGAACCTCAACTTCCTTCAATCTTGACTTCATTCTTAAAAGAAGTTGTTTATGTCTACACGCAACCGATATCAAAACAAGTAGAGTTACATATTCCGGATAATCACATCATAAGACATTAATTTCCCTACTTCCCCAAAACTCTAATCCGTGACATATACTTTGTTTGGTCCTGGCAATAGTATAACAGGAAGCCAATACAATTTCCACCTGTTTATTTCTACCAAAACTTTAAAGATAGAAAGGGTAGTTTACAAATTGGAGGGAGAAGATGACAGCTCACATTCAGTTTGGTTTTAAAGACACACCATGAGTCGCTCAACATAGTTGGAATTAAGAAAAAATACCAAGCAAAAATCTCTTAAGATCTGCCACCAGACTACCGTTTGGTTATTTAGGAGGACTAACTCTACTTTTAAGACCAATATGTTTCATTCTCCTTCAAAAGGTCTCTATTCAAGTTTTTATAAGCCATGCAGAGTGGTTCTCACAACCTCAGAAGTTCCACGTATCCACATACCAATTAAAAGCAAAAACTTGTTACCAATACCAGAGCTAGAATCCCACAAATAACCAAACAGCAATGCCGAAACCTGGTTGTTTTCCAACATTAAAAGGCACATTGACATTAACCATATCCAATTTTTCATAAAAGGGGGGAAAGCCTCTAAGTTTTTCCTGAAACAAAGAGGATGTAGCCTTTTACTCTCTTCAGTAAATAGCAACTGTTAAGAAAAACAACCATCCTTCTTGTTTCCGACATATCATCCAAGTTCTCGGAGAAAAACAACCGTTTAAATTGCCCAAAAATGGCTATTTAAGCCTAAGTACTATTGTTTTCTGCTAGCAATTAAAGTAGGTCAAGAGCTAATATGGTGGGTGTTGGCATAAATGGATGGGTACCTAGAGCAAAAGACTACCTTAACCACTGCATTACATTAATTTAATTTATTAACTGAAGTTCATTATGTAAGATAACCCCTTCTTGTTTAAAATATCCTCCATTTATATATATGCTTTCTTTTTGTGCATTCAAAGTAAAATTATGGTTAAAAAAAAAGTAAAGGTTAAAGGAAATGTGCTTTCTATTTAGTAATCAAATGTTAGTAAGGATCCAATTTTGCCCATGCATTATCATATAATAAATAATTGGGGAAGTGTAAAAAGTATTATAATGATAATAATTGCAAAAGGTTGTATAAAGTTCTTTAAAATTCATACAAATACTCTCTCATGTTATTAAAATTGACAGTATCTTCATGTCAAGGAGGTCTGATATCAAATGGAAATATAGACATTAATAGTAATGAGTCTCTAAACTGGCCTTGTTTTTTTTTTTTCGGTTGAAAGTCTCTAAAATGGCCTTGTTTCTAAATAGCATCCAGTCACATGTAGCGGGTAGTGGGTGCTGGGGCTGGGCTTTGTGTGGTGGGTGCTGGGGCTGGTGGATGAAAGATTTTACTTGTAAACTTTTTTTTTTCCCTTCGTAAGAAATTTACCCTTGGCAGTGACCCAATTTGAGAAAAAGGTTCCAGACATTTTTTAGCATTTTGAAAGCAAAAACTATTGAAAATTGCCATGTATTTTATGTGCGCTTGTCGATACACAATTGATCCGAACAACTCTTTGTTTTTAGGTCTGAATTTTAGAAAATCAAACTCAATGCTAGAATACCTTCCTGAGCAATAAGCAACAATGACAACTTCATGCTAGAAAATTGAGGAAATACAAATCAGATGGACGAGAATAAGGACATACGTAAAAGGCACCTTGGTCACTTTTCAGGCTATCTTTTGAAGGACCCAACAGGAACAACACTTGCAGATTCATCATTCACACCATTTTGAACATCCAAACCCTGTTCCTAAAATATAATGGCAAGAAAATTGTTGTTTTGATAACCCAAAATGCTTATAAATTTCAAATAACTGAAGGATCAGAACACAGTTCACAACAGTCAAACAGAAATCCAATAATGAATGTCATAAAAAGACAAAAAGTACAATATTAAAGAACCAGATACTGAGGTCAACATGGGAAAAATATATACCGGGCTAGTTGAAGCTTGCCCGTTCATTCTTTGGGGCCTGGTATTAAGATCAATCAATCTATTGTCCATCTTGTAGTCACCAACAATATTGTTGTCTAGGACTGCAACTGGAGAGGCACTGCAATTCTGTTGATTCTCTCTTATACTTAAACTAGGTGGCTGAATATGGTCTTTTCTTACTTCCTTTTGGTCAAGTGGTTGAAGCCCTAGTTCCTCTGAACGGCCAGGCTTATCCCCTGGAAACTACAGAGAAATGCCCAAGAGAAAGGAAATAATCTCAGGAGGCCTATAAGCCAGATATAAACCTTAACCAGAACTCCCCAGTAGAGAGGAACAAACCTCAACTCTCTGCCTGAAAAGGAGATACCTCCTATGGGTTCTTTTACCACCAACATGTACAATCATATCGCATTGCAGGCAAAGGGAACTACCATCTACTTCACAGTAAAAGAAGGCTACATACATGTGCCCACAGGGAGGAGAAATCTTCAAAATCTTTCTACATAAGTTCAACATTGATATTCTCACAAAAACCGGAAACATAAAAGTCTTGCATACCAGGAGCATTTTCGCAAATATCACAGCAAGGAACGTCACTGGGGCTAGCTAGCCCAACCCGTACATGTCTACTGGCAAGTTTATTACACATATGGACCTGCGATTCCAACACAAAAGAACAAATAATGCTTCTACTATAATTTGTGAATTATATAAGATATAAAGAGCAGATGGTGCCATATGCCTGCTAAGAGCTTTTATTCGATACGTATACGGTTCATGATATTTGAAACTAACACACTACATTCAAATAGAATCCCACAATCACTTCTCTTACCAACAACTCAAAATTCATCATTTATGTGAACTAATTAAGTTTCCCCATCTTTGGGTTCAGGCAACAATATACCATAATTAAGCATAGCCAAAAAGGAAAATTTCAGCAGGCGACAACTACATCAAGTAAGAGGACGAAGTCAATGGATTAAGTATAAACCAACTACAACAACAACAACAACAACAAGTGATTCAGCTTACAATGATGAAATCAACATCATAGAAGCAAGGCAACAAAGCAGTTGCTATAGCTTTTTACTTTTCAAACATGGTAAAGCAATCAAGACAAAAATACTTTGCAAAACCCAAATTCCAAAAACTTGCAAATTTTTATGCTAAGATCACTGGAAGCATAAAAAGCAACCCAATCCCAAAACCCAAATTCAAAATTCCCCAAAATCATGAGTGTCAAATAGAAAGTCAATGCTTGCATAAATAAAATTGCAGATGAAGAAAGAAAAGAAGAAATGAACAACCTTTTCATCGCAGGAACGGCAAAGAGCGGCCTCGTCAGCTGCGCAGAAAACGATGGCAGCAGCGCCCTCGCACACGTCGCAAAGCGTTCGCATTCTGTCTCCCACTCCTTCTCATTCCTCCATTCTACTCCCCAAACGCCATCGTTTTCGGTTTCCTCAAATACAGGCAAAGCCAAAGACAAAGGGAGGAGAATTTAAGTCTTGTAGTGGTCCTTTTATATAGAACGTGGGCAGTAGTACTTTGGAGTCTTTACCTGTGACATTTGATTTGGTCTCTGTGCTTTCAGGTTCTTAATTTCATTACCATTTATGGAAACGTCTCTTTTGGTAGCCAGTAGCTACACTTCAATTTCAGTTGATGGTGTTCCTCAAGCATCAATCAATGCAAGTACACATGCGGTTCTGTTGGGATCTTGCCAACCATTAATTTTTTTTCTTGTTACATTTATTGTTTGACCACATTTCTAATATATCTTTTCTTGGTGAAAGTAAACTCCTACCAGGGGGGAAATAATATTTCGAGGAGCTTGCAATTCTACAAACCTCTATTTACAAATCAATCACTTTTTGTTTACTTCTATTTCATTTCATTCAAAATAACATACCTCTTTTTCTTTTATAAACAATATATAATATAATCCTAATTCTTGTGTAAACAATTAATGGGAGATTCACTATTATACCCAAGGGTTATTCGCAGCAATGGTCCCTCAACTATACCCGTATTTACAGTTTTGTCACTCAATTCAATTATTAGTTGCAGAGGTCACTCAATTGGGTGTTGTGTTGCACCGTTAGTCCCTACGGGACGATTTGACGATAGTCCAGAGGATGGCTATCCGATTTGGCGTCAGTTTTGGCCAAAAATTGAGTTGAACTACATCGAAGCCATCCCTAACAAGAACTATAAGGATTGAAATAGGGATATGATTTCCCCACTCCCCTTTTTTCCACTTACACTCCCTTTTGCTTTTTAATACTTTTTAATCAATTTTGTTCTTTCTCTTTCCTATTCTACCCTTACTCTACATTAATTTCTTTTTACTTTACTTTTATATTAATTCTTTTTCTTTATACTTATTTTTCCAACTTGCACTCTATTTTCAGTATTTTTTTCCTTTAATCGAGTAAGAAATTAAGTTTTTTTTCCTTTTAATATTGAAAATGGAGTGTAAGTTGAAAAATTAAGTATAAAGATAAATAAATAATATAAAAGTGAAGTAAAAAAGAAATTAATGTAGGGTAAGGATAGCATAGGAAAGAGAAAGAACAAAATTGATTAAAAAGTATTAAAAAACAAAAGGGAGTGTAAGTGGAAAAAAGGGGAGTGGGGAAATCAGCTCCCTTGAAATATTGTAGCTTTAAGAAAGGAAATAATCAACATTATTTTAAACATCTTTTTTTTTTTTAAAACAACGATATTCTAAACTATTTAGTGTATCATTAGGGAATTCAAATTCGAATTCAAAGGGTTGGACACACTTTTTTTTGAAACATACGTCTATTTGTATCCATTAAACTACTCAAAACACCTCTTTTTTGAAAAGCTTTTGTAAGTTTTCAATTTTATCCTAACTTGGTTTTTGAGTTTTATTGTTGATCTCATAGTCATGGCCATGGTTAGATGCCATTTCCATGACAATGATAGGATGGGTAGACAGGGAGTGGAGAGCTTGGGGTGAGGGCAAGGGATGCGATTTCTTCCCTCAGTTTCTAAAATAGAATAATAAATAAAGATAAAATAATTATGGTCAAGCATATCTAGAGGACCAAAAGGATCCACATAATTTTGTTATTACATGTTATTGTGGCATAGCCACTTGTTCAAAGCTGGTCATAGAATGAAAGCTCCTTCCAATCCATTTTAAGCCACTAATCTCCTTTCTCCATTTACCCACCACCTTATTTTTTAAGTCTCTAATAAATTTGGGCCAGAAGCTCCTCTTTTGTTATCAAATTATTAGAATAAAACGCTAGCTCAATGATTGTGGACAAGATGCTCTCAACTCAAAGACCCCTTAAATTAAGCATAAATTTCTCACGTCCCAAGTTCATAGTCCATGTGATGTGCAACAGATGACGGAAGTAAATAAAGAGAAGTTGGAGCGATGCGTACGCAAAGGCAAATTAGGTAAAATGCAGATTTGGGCTCCAAGCTCAGAATCGGGCATATGACCCGTCAATTCGAAGAGAATGACGTCACAAGTAAAACTCATCACTTTGCCATGATGTATGGGCTTTTTCAGGCATCCGAGATCATTTACTAGCCCGAAATTCAGTTTTAAAGTTTTTACAGTTTTTGGAAACTTGGTTATATTCGTATTTTAATTCATTTATTATTCCTAGGGTTTCTAGGAGTATTTAAGCATATTTTACTCGTAGTTAGAGTTATGTTTTGTTATTCCAGTTTATCAAATCAACTTTAAGGTTTCCTCATATTTTCCTGGCGGATTCCAGAATTACATGTTTTAGGCTAAGATTTAGCCAATCAATTATCACACTTGCGTCACCATGATTAGGGACCCCAAACTCAAGATGTTGTCCAAGTTTATCATGTTTAGAGTTTACATATGAGTTTTGAAGTTCAGGATTCGACTTTTTAGTCCCATGTATGGAGTCCAAGATCTTGAGTCTCGAGTCAGGGATCTCGAATTTGGGTCAGATACCAAATCTTGAGACTGAGGTCTCATATTATGAGTCCTTGATCTAGGGTCTATAGTTCTGTGTCTAGGGTTGCGCTAAATCCCAATGCAATAGTATTGAAAAACAGTACATTTTTATGTAGAATTTTAAAGTGGAATTTTCGACCCTAACTCCAACCTCCCAACCAGACTTTGGGCCAAAACCTCAAACATGTTAACTCGTCCCTTAAATAATTTTATTGAGGGATTGTAGGGTCCGATACAAATTTTATTTCAACAATCTGAACCATTCATTTTTTAAGTGTTCATTCAAATATTATCCTTGTCAAAACTTAGGAAAATCAGAAACCATTAAATTTTTTAATTATAATCAACAAAATCAACGATCCCGGTGGTTCAAGAAAACACTAAAACTACAACCATCAATTGAGTGGTCAAATGATTCAAGTGATTTTTTGTAAATAATTTTATTCGAGGGACACCCTTACAAATTTTTTCAATTATCCAAATCATCTATTTTCAAATCTTCACTCATAAATCATCCTTGCAAAAAATCATGCAAATTAAAAATCATCAAGGCATCTAATTAGGAGCAACAAAATAGACAAACATGGCGCTTCAAGAAAAGACTATAATAACAACCATTTAATTGAGTGGTTAAATGGTTTCAGATTTACGTAATCTTTTGCAGAGATGATCTTTGAGGTAATATCTAAAAAATTGACTGTTCAGATCATTGAAATACAATTCACGATGGCCCTACAAGTGTTTATTTGAGGGATCCCTCAATTGAAGATCTTTGTATATATATTCTTTTCTTATTTTTTTTTTAAATGAGGATTAGTTTTTCTTAGTAGGAATGTTTTTATTAATTTTGGAAAGGGATAAACTTGCTATTAGCTAAATAAGGTTCATGTCTTGAGTTGGATATGCCAATCTTTTATGATCCTCCCGATAGTATTAAGTCTTTTCTTAGTGAAGATTTACTTGGAATCTATAGGTCTCAAGCTATTATTTAGTTTCTCTGTTGGACGGGAGCCCCATTTCTTCAACCAAAAAAAAAAAATTGCTATTAGAATTTATTTGGGCGTAGATATAAGATTGAAGGACATCAATAAAAGCTCCCTCTTAGTTTCTCTCTTTCATTTTGGGCCTATCAAATTTGAGAGCTAAATAAATTGAACTTTTGGGCTCTATTGGAAATATGGATGGGTCAGCAAGCAATTGCCTTTCCACGAAGCTCGACAATGGCTGGAGGGGAACCAGCTCCTTTATGGGTATGAGCAATGCAATCAGTGAAAATTCTATTTGAATACTTATATGCAAATTTTACGCACATATGATGGAAAAATTCAGGTCTGCAAATGTTAGAAGAATCTCTTTGGTCACTTTCTCTTTTATTCTGGTAGTTCGTTCTATTCGTGCTTGAAAAATGACCCCATCGCTTATGGTATTGGAATTTTTGAAAACATTGCCTCAATCTGCCCACGTTTATTTTACGTTCAGAGCTCTTAACTGTTTGAGTTACAAGTCGCTTACTTAGTCTACTTATTTTTACGATTTGCTGATTTGCTGATAATGAGAATCCCAGTTCATTAAAATGGTTTCCCAATCATGATATTCGTTGACAAAAGCGCACAATTATGTTAATAATTAAAATATTCTAGGTACCCGATTGATGATTATATAATAAACATTATAATTCTTAAAACCAAAACAATAATGCTAGAGACATTAACTTATTAATTACATCAACTGTCAACAAATTAAACCATGTCACATCAGTTTGTGTAATAAATTGATGTTTCTAGCATGACCCAAATCAGAAAAGTCCTACAGAGTGGTTGTCACATTTTAATCAGTGGTTAGTTTGAAGATGATTGTGGTTGTTGACGTTGTAATTGATTAAACAAGCTCATGGATTAATCTAAGCTATCATATAATAATTCTTTAAATAAATAAATAAAAGCCTTACAAAAAATAAAAAGTGCAACAACTACTTTCTATTCTATGTTGCACACTTCTCTCAAGTACTGTGTGCAAAAGAATAATCTCAATTCTAACTTCTAAGTAAGAACAATATGTCTTTGTGACTCATAACTCTAGTCACAGAGTATTTATTCTCACATTCACGGTTGTTCGTTCTTCTCCAAATAATAAAAATAAAAATTACAAATATATGTAATTGGACTAATATGGTTGTCATTTGGTGAAAAATCTATGAGTGATTTGATCATATAGTACTTGTTATTAAAATTATTAGATCTTCATTTAATCATAAACGTACACAAAAGAAAAAACAGACAATACAATGATGAATATATATAGACAGGACAGGATCCAAAGTTTAAGTTCTCCCTCAGCCAAAAGTACCTTTTTGAAGTGCCTATTTCGTGGTTTCCAAGCGACAAATATTCTGACCAAGAACATGAAAAAGTTGTCTGTTTCATTCTTCACACTCATCATTTGATTTTAAATTTCCTATTTCAGTCCAATTATTTCGGATACGTTTAGAGTTCCTAAGGCCCTATTTGGTGGGCTAGCTTGAACCGGTTAGAATGGACTTTGAAGCATTGGATTAACTAGGTTTTAAGTCCAGTTGTATTCGTTTTTGCACCAAACAACATACTACAAATAACTTCTTCTTTTTTTTAATAAATCAATTTCCTTTTTAAAATCAGATGCAAAATTCAGACCGAAGAAAACCCTTGACTTTTTGTAAAAA